GCACTGTCGGAGGGTCAGTGCTGAGGGGGTGCCGCACTGTCGGAGGGTCAGTGCTGAGGGAGCACCGCACTGTCAGTGGGTCAGCGCTGAGGGAGTGCCGCACTGTCGGAGGGTCAGTGCTGAGGGAGCGCCACATTGTCGGAGGGTCAGTGCTGAGGGCACGCCGCACTGACGGAGGGTAAGTACTACCCTGTTTGAAAGGTGAAAAGAAACAATAAGTCAAAATTAAAGCAGAAAGGATGGAACCTCAGAAGGTTGGACAGCATCTGATGGGAAAATCTACACGAACATGTCCTGGATTACCATGGCAGCAGAAAGTACAGTCATTGGAAGGTACCAAAACTCTCAGTTTTGGAGCTGGTATAGCAGCTGGAGTTGATAAAGTGTCCTGTGAGGGTGCGGCTTTTGATGAGCATGTTGATGGACGTTAAAGACATATAGGCCAGTATTAGATACATTGAGCATCGTATAGTCCAGTAACAACACTGCGTATTGTATAGCCCCATGACACCCACATTGAGCATCCTATAGCCCAGTGACATACTCGCTGAGCATCATATGGTGTAATCTCAGTGTGCTATATGGCTGCAATTGTTGTGGAGGAAGTGTAACAAAGGTTTCCCAGATTGATGCTTTCATGGCAGGACTGATGTATGAGGAGAGACTGGATCTGTTAGGATTGTATTCACTTGAGTTTAAAGAATGAGGAAGGATCTCATAGAACCCTATAAAATTGTAACATGACCAGACAGGGTAAACACAGGAAGGATGTTCCCAATGTTGTGGGATTCGAGAACCAGGGGCCACAGTTTAAGGACACTGGGTAAACCATTTAGGATTGAGATGAGACATTACTGCACCCAGAGAGTGGGGGGCCTGTGGAATTCTCTGCCACAGAAAGTGGTTGAGGCCAAACGATTGAATGTTTTCAAGGACGAGTTAGAGAGATAATTCTCTGGGCTAAAGGGATCAAAGAACACAGGAGACGGTAGGAACAGGTTGTCGAATACGGCGATTAGCCACGATCATACTGATTGGCAGAACAGGCTTGAATGGCCGAATGACCTGCTCCTGCTGCAATTTCTATGTTTCAATGTAACAAGCGCCAAACATCCTATAGGTCAGCAACACACACACACACACACACATACACACACATACAGTGCATCTTATAGTCTAGAGATACACACCGAGCATTCTATAGGTCTGTAACACACACAAATACACATAAGCACAATGTATCCTACAGCCCAGTAACATATGTCGAGTATCCTATAGACCAGTCACACACACTGAGCATTGTATAGCCCAGTAACACTCATATCCTGCGACATATAGACTGGTAACACTCATGGAGCAGCAAATAGCCTAGTTGTGGTGATTATAACAAGGTCAGCTGAATCAACATCAGAGAATACAAGTTCCCTGATTGGAGCTGTTAATCTGGTCCAATCAGGGAGCCCTGGCTGACAGATAGGATCAGGAGCGTCAGACACCCTGCTCACTCTGAGAGCTGGCTCAGAGGGATTTGGATCCATGTCAAGGACTCTCCAGTGTGAATAAAGGGTGACTTGGTGACAGGATACCGGCCTCTATGCAGTTATTTCACCAATAACACACTATCACCGAGCATCATATATTCCAGTAACACTCACTGGATTAAACACGGTCCTAACAATGTTGTGCAAGATAGTAATGACACTGTGTTTTGAGCTTCGAGGGCGATCAGTGAGTTTCAGGAAGCCTCAAATGACAAACTTAATAAAACAACACAAATGATGGTTCACATTGCATTGCATTTTAAAGCCAATTCATTGTTGCTCTGTGCAATGTTCAGGTGTTTTTAAGGAGCTGATAACATTATCAGATCCATAGCCCAGTTTTTCCAAATCATTACAGCAAAACACACTTACATTTATTCCCAGCGCAAAAAAGATAGGCATTTTAAAACCATTAAATGGATTCAAAAATAAAATTACCATAATCCAGAAAACATTCCAGATATAAACCATCCAGTATACTTTTGCAAAACTCTTCCCTCGGATTTCTAACATATATTGCTGATGTTTAAGTTTTTCCCCACAATATTAACACAAATTGTGGATTTAATAATCTGGAGCACTTTCCCAGAAAAGACTGTGGATGTTGTGAGTAAGTTGAAGATTTTGAAACCGAGCTTGATGGCTTTGCTTTTGCTGGGTAAGGATATCAGAGAATGTGGAGTTGAGATACAGACCACCACAATGTAAACAGACAGGACACAATCTCAGCAAGCTGAATGGCCTCCTCTATTTCCCTGTTCCTAAAGAGAGGGAAGGGTGTGTATTGAGAGATGTCACATTTCACATGCAAGAGTCCTCCAACATTCGGGGAGAAACAGGTCTGAATAATTCCTGCTAGAGTTTTGTAGTTATTAAATATTGACAGTAAATATTGTGCAGATTGGGTTTAGTGTTAGGTATTTTGTGGACAGATGTTTGGAACAGGCTGTCCTGGTTTTGAAGTAGGAACTGTAAGACGGGGTAACACAAGAAAGACTGTAAGAGATTTGAACCACATTTTCCCAACTCATTGAGCTTTGCTCTAGGTCCCAGTTCTGTGTTGATGGCTTACAGTCTTCGATTTCTACTTTTAGAGATGAGTCTGTCTCACTTGCTATTAATGGGCGCATCTCCTGTGCATGCTTTGCATGCTGTAACTGAACCCCTTTCTCCAGCAGGATGGAGAGAGTCTCAGCAGAGAGCAATGAACAATTCATCTCTCGGTTAGAGTTTGACAAAGAATTAACTCTACGTTGGATCCTCCTAGTAACCATAAATCTCATTTTCCACCCAGCCGGAATCTCCACTTCTTTTCACTTGATGGCTATAAGGTTCATAAATCTCATTTGTCACAAAACCACTTGTGGAACAATTGGTGCCAACGTTGTCAAATTCTCTGGAAACATTGTCCAGCTCCTGGCTGGGAGCAGAGGTTCGGAAAGAAATGTTCTTTATGTGAGGTCGGGCTCCAGTTAAATCAGCCTCTGACTGCTTCATGATGACATTGTAAATCTCCAGTTTTGGAGAGTTGCTTCTGACAGATTCCATCCAGAAATTCTGCTCCTTCACGATTGTCTCACACCTCTCCTTCCTCCTGAAGGCAAAAGAATTTCAGTAATGTCAATTCTGAACAACTGTACAACAGCAGCAGGGGTCCAGGGGCCAGGAGAAGGAGGATGTAAGGGGAAAGAGAGAGAGAGCAGGGAAGGAGGTGGAGAAAGAGAGGGGAGGGGGAAAGAGGTGGGGGAGAGGGGCAAATAGAGATGGAAGGGCAAAAAGAGGGAGGGGAGGGAGGAAAAGAGGGAGGGTAAGTCAATACCTCACAAGAAGAAATTATCTGTCACTGCGAGGTTGTCAGTGATTGGTCAGGATTGGTCAGTAATAAGATTAGGATTGGTTGGTGATGGATGAGGATTGGGATTGGCCAGTGCTGGATGGAGATCAGATTTGGTCAGTGATGGATGGGGATTGGTCAGTGTGGGGTCAGTCAGTTGGTGATTGGTCAGGATTGGGGTGGGTGGGGACAGGGTGCGTGATTCAATGTTTCCGAACTCACCTTCTCACAATGAAGCGGAGACAGAAGGTTGCACTGAGCACTACCAGGAGGAGGAGCACTGGGATTGTCGGAATAATAATGTAGAGGATGTTCAGGGCTTTGTCTGAAAGAAATGAAACTCCAGTTACGAAGAAGAAAACTCCAGTCTGAAACCAATTCAATGGGAAGCTGAGTTTCTGAAAAATATACAAATTAAAACTGAATACTGAGGGAGAAAGGACTATCAACATCCTTTCTCCCCCAGCACTGCAACCCCCACCTCCCACTACAGCATAAATACTGTACCCCCATCACTTCACTTCAGCTCTGATGAAGAGTCATCTAGATTTGAAGCATTAGCTTGCTCTCTCTCTTTGGATGCTGCCTGACCTGCTGTGATCTCTAGCACTTTTTGTTGTCAGTTCAGATTCCAACACATGGAGTAATTTGCTCCTACCCAGGGTCTTTCTGCTCTACAACACTGCCAAGGCCCTACTTTTAATTGTATAAGTCTTGCCTTTTGTTTATTTTACCCAAATGCAATACTTTGTCTTTATCCAAATTAAACACCATCTGCCACTTCTCAGCCCATTGAAACGATACTCCTGGATATTCTTCTTCACTCTCCACTATACCATCAATTTTGGCATCATCCACCAACTGACTAACCATGCCTGCTGTATTTTCATCCAAATCATTTATATAAATGACAAGCAAAAGAGGATTCAGCACCGATCCCTGTCGAACACCACTGGTCACAGGCCTCCCGTCATAAAAACGGAGCTCCACCATTACTCTCTGTCTTTTGCCATTAAACCAGTTCTGTATCCAATTGGCAAGGTCACACTGAATCCCATGTGATCTAACTTTACTAATTAGTCTACCATATGGAACTTTGTCAAAGGCTTTACTAAAGTCCAAGTAAACAATATCTACTACATTGCACTTGTCGAAGCTTCTTTGTTACTTCTTCAAAAAGATTAATCAAGTTTGTGAGACACAATTTCCCTCACACAAAACCATGTTAACTATCTCTGATCATTCCTTGCCTCTCCAAATGCATATAAATTCTATCTTTCAGAATCACTTCTAACAATTTACCCACCACCGAAGTCAGGCTAACAGATCTATAGTTCCCAGGCTTCTCTTTATATCCGTTTTAAACAAAGGCACAATGTTAGCTACTCTCCAGTCATTCGGCACCTCATGTGTAGTTATAGATGATACAAATATTTCTGTAAAGGGTCCCTCAATTTCCTCCCTAAAATGCCAGAATGTCCTGAGATCAGGTTCTGGGCATTTATTCACCTTTATATTTTCTAAGACCGCAAACACGTCCTCTTCTGTAATGTGAACTGTTTTCAAAACATCAAAAAATGTTTTTAAATGTTGTAATTGTACCTGCCTCCACCACATCCTTGGCAGCTCATTCCATAAACACACCACGTTCTGCATGAATACTTATCCCTCAGGTACTTTTAAAATTGTTCCCTCTCATCTTAAACCTATGCCCTTTATTATTGGATGCCCCTACCCCAGTAAAAAGACATTGACTGTTCACCCTATCCATGCCCTTTTATAAGGTACCCCTCAGCTAGGGAAAATAGCCCCAGCCTATTCAACTCTCCCTATAACTCAAACTTTCCAACCCTGGCAACATCCTTGTAAACCTTTTCTGTACCTTTCAAGTTTAACATCTTTCCTATAGCAGTGAGACCAGAATCAAATGCAGTATTTCAAAAGTGGCCTAACCAATGTCCTGTACGGCTCTAATATGACAACATACTCAATGCACTGACCAATGAAGGCAATCACGCCAAACACCTTTTTCAACCACCCTGTCTACCTGTGACTCCACCCTCAGGGAACTATGGACATGCACTACTAGGTCTCTGTTTGGCAACACTGCCCAGAGCCTTACCATGAAGTCTATAAGTCCTGCCCTGATTTGCCTTTCTATTTATGGAAATTAAACTCCGTCTGCCACTTCTCGGCCCATTGGCCCATCTGATCAAGGTCTCATTGTACTCTGAGGTAACCATCTTCACTGTCCATTACACCTACAATTTTGGTGTCATCTGCAAACTTACTAATCATACCTCCTGTGTTCACATCCAAATCATTTATATAAATGACAAAAAGCAGTGGACCCAGCAATGATCCTTGTGGCACACCACTGGTCACAGGCCTCCAGTCTGAAAAGCAAGCCTCCACCACCATCTTCTGTCTCCAACCTTTGAGCCAATTTTGAGGTTGGTGAACTTCAGGAGAGGTCCTGAAACATCTTTGAAACTGGCTTCAATGGTTGAGGAGAGGAAAATATATCATCGTGGAAATGTGTGTGCATTTAGCATACATCATTTCCTGGTATTCAATCAGAACTGTTACTGTAACAGCTGTGGGCAGCAATAGAACCACAGAATCAGAAATTAGCCTCTTCCATTTTGAGCAACAGCAGCTAGTTCTTTAGAAACCAAAATAATTCTTACTCCAGTACATCAATCACTTCATCGGTGCTGCTTCCCTCTGTCATCCAGCATTTAAAAGGTTTATCAATTTCATTTCCAATCTCCACCCTACTCTCACCTGACTGTTCCATCTCTGACTCCTGCCTTCCCTTCCTCGGCACTTCCATTTTCATTTTTGGGGCTAGACTGGCCACCAATATCCACTAAAAAGCCCCTGACCCCACAATTACCTATCATTCCTCACACCCTGCTTCTATTCCATTCTCCCAGATCCTCTGTCTCCATCGAATCTGTTCTGATGATGCTAATTTCGACAAGGGACCCACCAAAATGCCCAACTTCATCCTCAACCGAGGATTCCCAGCTCCTTGGTTGACAGAGCCCTCAATTAGGTCTGACCCATTTCCCGCACTTCTGCCCTCAGCCCATCTCTTCCTTCCCACAACAGCAATAGAGTTCCCCTCACCCTCACCTACCATCCCACCAGCATCCACATCCAGAGAATCATTAGCCACTGTTTCTGCCACATCCAGCAGGATGCCACTACCAGACACATATTCCCCTCCCCTCCCTTGTCAGCCTTCTGCAAGGACTGTTCCCTCTTGGACACCCTGGTCCACTCCTCCTTCACCTCCAATACCCCCCACGCCCCCATGGCACCTTCCCCCGCAACCACAGAGGGTGTAACACCTACCTGTTTACCTCCTTTCTACTATCCAAAGGCCAAAACATGCCTTCCAGGTGAAGCAGCGCTTTACCTGCATTTCACACAATCTAGTCTACGCATTCACTACTCACAATGTGCTCTCCTCTACACTGGGGAAACCAAGCATAGACTGGGTGACCACTTTGCAGGATACCTATATTCTTTCTGCATAAAAGACCATGAGCTTCCTGTTAGCACCCTGTTCCCTGGCCAACATCTCTGTCTCAGGTTTGGTGCAGTGTTCCAGCAAAGCTCAGTGCAAACTGGGAGAACAGCACCTCATTTTCCGCCTGGGGACCCTGCAGCCTCCAACTCAACAATGTAGGACTTGAGGCACCTTCACCCATGTCCTTACCCCCAAACCTACACACCACGCTTTATCGTCACCGCAACCACATCACATTGTCAGCTCCTGATAGGCCCCAATAGCAACTATTCATTCTCCAAGGTGCACCTTTATGCATTCCTTTGTCAGTCCAACTGTTTTTCTCTTTGGGCTCTATCTCCAACTATGGTTTACTCCTCACCCCATACCCCTAGCTTCTGTATAAAAACCATCCTTTTCCCCCACTGCCATCAGTTCTGAGGAAGGGTCACTGAACCCAAAATGTTAACTCTGTTTCTCTCCACAGATGCTGCCAGACCTGCTGAGTTTTTCCAGCAATTTCTGTTTTTGTTTCTGATTTCCAGCATCCACAGCTCTTTTGGACTTTTTTAACAAATTTGTCATGTTTGTTATAGGATTGTGATATCACTGATTGAAGCAGCATTTATTATCCAGCCCTAATTACCTTAGAGAAGGTGGTGATGAGTTACCTTTTTGAATTATGGCAGTCCTTGCGTGGTAATTACGCCCACAATGTCCTGGGTGGGTTGCGGGGTGTGATGGTGGGAGGAGAATTCCAGGATTTTGACCCAGTGACAGTGAAGGAACAGCGATATATTTCCAAGTCAGGATGGTGAGTGGCTTGGAGGGGAACTTCAGGGGGTGGTGTTGCATCCATCCAGGCAAATGGGGAGTATTCCATCACAATCCTGATTTGTGCCTTGTGGATTTGGAGTGTTACTTGCTGCAGAATTTCTAATCTCTGGCCTGAACTCTTCTAGCCACTGTATTTATATGACTGGTCCAGTTCAGCCTCTGATCAATGATAACTCCCAGGATCTTGATTGCATTTGTGCAGCATGAATGTTACTTGGCACTTTTCATCTCAAGCCTCGATATTGTCCAGGTCTAACTGCATTTGGACAGGGACTGCTTCAGTAACTGAGGAGTCACAAATGGTGCTGAACGTTGAGCAGTCATGAGCGAACATCCCCACTTCTAACCTTATGATGAAGAGATTTAATGCAAGAATAGGAAGGCTATGTCTCAATTACACAGAGCATTGATGAGACCACATCTGGAATACTGTTTACAGCACTGGTCACCTGTACTTACAGAAGGATGTTTATGCATTGGCAGCAGTTCAGTGAGCTTTACTAGACTAATCGCTGGAATGAGCAGATTGCCTAATGAGGAAAGCCTGTATCCTCTGGAGTTTAGAAGCGACACAGGTGACTTAATTGAAACATATAAGATCATGAGGGGATTTAACCACGCAGATGTGAAAAAGATGTTTCCTCTTGTTGGGGAATCTAGAACTAGGGGTCACTGTTTAAAAATAAGTGGGTGCCCATTTAAGACAGAGATAAGGAAGTATTTTTTCTCCAGAGGAATATCAGTCTTTGGAATTCCCTTCCTCAAAAGATAGTGGATACAGATTCTTTAGATATTTTTAAGGAAGGTGGAGAATGAATCCTTAGCACAAAGGGGGTGAATGTGGAGCTGTGGTTAAAATCAGATCAGCCATGACCTTATTAAATGGCAGAACAGGCTGGAAGGGCTGAGTGGTCTCCTTGGTTGTATGAAGGTGTTGTCTCTTACCTTCTTCCGAGCTGTTCCCATCAATGGGAGTTGGTGTTGACCCTGGAGTTAAGGAATCTTGAACTGTGAGCAAAACAAAGAGACTTGATCAGGGCAGAGGCGAGCAGCTGGCTGAACAACCTGTCATCTTTAGCCCAGCTCCAGGCCTTTCCCCTTCTTTGCACTCCCCATTCCTAAACACGACTCTTCCACCGTCCCCCCAATAAACCACACCTCTTCCAAACCCATTCCACAGTCTCCAGACACCTCACTTCCAGCCCAACACACTCCCAATCCCATTCCCAATCCCAATCTCCAACACTAAACCCAACTCAATCTGGCTCTCACCACCACCCCCCCCTCATTCCCACTCCCTGTCCCACCCTCACAACTCCTGCCTCTCATTCCCACTCCTCATGGAGCCATGTTGTGCAATTCCAAGCCACAGTTTTGGAATTTATTTGAGGGTGAGGGATTGGACTGGGGTCAAAGGTCGCTATTCACCTGAACAAATTCATTGGAGAGCTGACCTGGAGCATACTTGCAGATGAAGTTGTTCTTCATGTTGCATCGATCATCGTTCCATTGGTAAAGATAGGGGCCTCCCATTCCTGAGGAAGCAGACGGTTGGTGATACATCACCACACACCCCTCACTACCACACGATGGCTCATCCACATACCAGTTGCTGAAAGAGATAAGAAACACCAAATCCTATTACTTGGCAACGAGTAACCCAGCAACAGGTTACCTGGTAACCCAGCAACTGGTAACTCAGTAACCTAGCAATGGCACAGCCTAACATCCCAGCATCACAGTCACATGGAAACCCATCAGCAACAAGAACTGGGGATGGCCTCAGTTTGTTGATTAACCCCAACTGGGGGTTTCTAAGCCCTCTATTCCCTGGTGCTCATTTCCAGAAGAGGGGAGTTCCAGATTCTCTTGTGTCTTGCCTGGGCTTTGGCTAACATGGTTTAGTTTCGCAGAGTTGTGCCTGAGTTGGATTCAGTGAACAGAAAAAATACTGGGAAAATAGTGGTGAGAGATTCTCACAGTCTGTGAGAACTGGGGTTTTGGGGCAACATCAGCTTTCCAGAACAAACAGGAGTGGGTAACGAATGAGCCTGTCACCCAGGACACTGCCACTGGAGGTTACATAATCTCAGCTGGAACCCAGCGGGTCAGCGACTGGGATCAGAAGGAATGAAGAAGTGTCAGCTGCTGCTCCTAACCACCAGGCCAGAGTTACATACCGAAACTCAGCATCACTGCCATCAATCCACTCATAGAGGCCAGGGCATTCTGTAGCACTATTGTTCCCATTCTCTTTCTGCCAGAGTCCAATCCAGAAATCACCATCGCCTGCGGACAAGCTTTCGATCAACTTTTCCACAAATCGTTGCTCATTCGCCGTCTCAATGCTCAAGAGGTTCCCCCCATCACGCTGGCACTCGCTCTGTGCCTCTTCAAACCTGAGCCTCAGTGAGGTGTCCTGGAAATAGGCGATTTGATAACAGGGGCGCTCGACTCCCCTGCGGCACACGTTCTCACCTAGCATTGGTTGACAGGGGGGATTAAAGCACAACAAAAACATGGTTAGTAGGTTTGTGGATGACACCAAGTTTGGTGGTAGAATGGACAGTGAAGATGGTATTCTAAGATTACAAAGAATTCTTGATCAATTGTGTCAATAAGCTGAAGAGTGGCAGGTGGAGTTTAATTTGGATACGTGTGAGGTATTGCATTTTGGCCAAATAAACAAAGGCAAGACTTATACATTTAATATAGAGCCTTGGGTAGTGTTGTAATCAGAGAGACCTGGGGGTTCAGGTACATAATTCTTTGCATCAGATATAGACAGGATGGAGAAGAAGGTGATTAGCATGCTTGCTTTCATTGCTCAGGTCCTTGAGTATGGGAGTTGGGATGTTATGTTGAGGTTGTACAAGATGTTGGTGACGCTTCTTCTGGAGTACTGTGTCCAGTTCTGGTCGCCCTGTTATTGGAAGTATATTATTAAACTGGAGAGGTTCCTGAAGAGATTTATCAGGATTTTGCCAGGAATGGAGGGTTTGAGTTATAAGGAGGGGCTAGATAGGCTGCGATTTTTTTCACTGGAGCATAGGAGGTTGAGGGATGTCCTTATAGATGTTTATAAAACCATGAGGGGTATAGATAAGGTGAACAGTAGGTGTCTTTTCCCTAGGGTGGGGAATTTTAAGACTAGGGGGCATATTTTTTAAGGTGAGAGGAGAAAGATTTAAAAAAGACATGAGGGTTAATTTTATTAGACAGAGTGTGGTTTGTGTGTGGAAAGAACTGCCAGAGGAAATGATGGATGTGGGTACAGTTACAACATTTAAAAGACATTTTGATAAGTACATGAATAGGAAATGTTTGGAGGGATATGGGCCAGGAGCAGGTAGATGGGACTGGTTTAGTTTGGGATTATGTTCAATATGGACTGGTTGGACCAAAGGGTCTGTTTCTATGCTGTATGACTCTGTGATGCCATGACTCAACCAATAGTAGAGTAATTAATTCAGAGAGGTAAACAAACCAGAATTGGAGGACACAAAGATCTCAAAGGCTTCTGAGGCTAGAGGAAGTCACAGAGATTGAGGGGGTTGGGGGAAGGCCATGGGGATGCTGAGATTTGTGAAGTCAAGGCATTGACAGCTCAGAGGCAATGTCAGACAGGTCAAGCAGGTGAAAGTTAGGACAGAAGCGGCAGAGTTTTGGTTGATTTCCATTTTCAATGAATGTAATATAGGAAGTGTAACTCATGCTTCCAGGACAGACACAGCACAGTGTTAGATACAGAGTAAAGCTCCCCTACACAGACTCCGTCAAACACTTTGAAAGGGTGTAGAAAAGATTTACAAGTATGTTTCCAGGGTTGGAGGGTTTGAGCTATAGGAAGAGGCTGAATAGGCTGGGGCTATTTTTCTGGAGCATTAGAGGCTGAGGGGTGACTTTATAAAATCATGAGGGGCATGGATAGGTTGAATAGCCAAGGTCTTTTTCCCAGGGTAGGGGTGGCCCAAAACTAGATGGCATAGGTTTGAGGTGAGAGGGGAAAGATTTAAAAGAAACCTAAGGGGAAGCTTTTTCACACAGAGGGTGATGCGTGTATACAATGAGCTGCCAGAGGAAGTGGTGGAGGCTGGTACAATTACAACATTTAAAAGGCATCTGGATGGGTACATGAATAGAAAGGGTTTAGGGGGATAAGGGCCAAATGCTTGCAAAGAGACTAGATTAATTTAGGATATCTGGTCGGCACGGACAAGTTGGACTGAAGGTCTGTTTCTGTAGTGTACAACTCCATGATTCTATGAATCCCAGGACAGGGACAGAATGGGTTTAGGTTCAGAGTAATGTTCCCTCTACACTATCCTTATCAAACGCTCCCAAGACAAGGACAGCACAGAGCTAGATACAGGGAAAGAGTGTAAGTCTTCCTGAATAGGTTTATTTTTGTAGATTCTTCACTAATCAATCATTTTCCATCAGCGGCATTTGGAATCTTGTTTGGATAGTTTGCTTTTAGGGGAACCCTGGTATGTCAATTACTATTTTAATTGTTTTAGAATGTTCAGTTGTGTTTTGAAAGTCTATGAATATTTGCGTAAATGCCTTTATAGCACCTGCCATATAGTCTAGATGTAGCAGGACATCCAATCTGTCTCATTAAAGCTTTGATGGTCAACTGACTGCTGAATGGAATAGATGCTTTGTACTTCAGATGTACAATAGTTAATCCCACACAGGCAGCATCCTTACCATTTAATCGTATGCACCAACCCTGTTTCCATAATGCTCTAGGTCTCTTTTATTTCACCACCACTCTTTTACCCATTCTTTCATGTCTTGTCTCCTTCATGTCTCCACTGCTCAGCCTCTCCTACCACTCTATCCTAAATCTCCCACAAATCAACTTTTTAATGACCACTTGTTTCTGACCTCTTCAATTACTGGAACAGTCAGTTTCTATCTCACCTGCCCAACCTTTCAGAATGTGCAGTACTATAACAAATTGATGTTAATCTAATCTGTCCTAGTGAAAAAGGCTTTGTCTTTGTGTTTTCTCACACCAGGCAACAATCTGATGATCTGAGGTTTTCCCTCTCTAAAGCCTGTTGGTAGTGGAATGTCTTTTTTAAATAAATAACTGCACTTTTGAGACGCTAAAAACAAAATTAGCCAACTAAACAGCATGCTGGGAAGGGAACCAAGATGGTAAACCAGGAAGCTTGCAGAATTCCATGCCAAATTGGATCAGGCTAGACAGATATGCAAGCCATTTACCTTGATCAACTTTATTGAATTGGTGTTGATGAGACAATGCTGCAAAGTTTCAGATGGAACAATAGTTTGGAGTTTCAGGAGAACTGTATTTGAGACAATCCAGCTCCTAGGATCAGCTCAATCAATGAGGAAGTTACAATATCCAACACTGCCTCTTGTAACACCCTCACTGGGACAGAAACCCATTCACATGGACTAACTGAACTATGTGAATCACATTCCTGCATCAAACTGCAGTAACCACAAAGGGGGAATCTGCGTGTAGGTCACCATTACGACACGGTAAACGACGGTAAGCCACTATATTTGGGGATGGCCAGGAGAACTGTGTTTAAAAGGCCCACTCGAATCAGAGGGGGCTTACAGACCAGAGACAAAGAGAGCAGAATGAGCAGGAACCTTGGGAACGAGAGGAAGAGTCTCAGCTTCAGTTTGAACAGCTGTAATCAGGGTAGTATAAACCTCTTTACCAACTTCCCCTTCCAAAGCAGACTTTAAACCATTGTGAGAACATAGTCATTTAAGAACGGTAAGGTTATTTGGGAAATTAGAGGGAAAGACAGGTTTCATAGAATTGCATATCTTCTGTTTCAATGATAATAAACCACATCCCACAGTAAACCACATCTCATTATTACTGTAAAATGAGTTCCAGTAAGTGAGCGAGTAAATCTAATCCAAGTGAAAATGGTGCTTAAATGGTGCTTAAACAGCTTTGATGTCCTTCCTGTAATGTGGACCCCAAACCTGCTCATAGTCTTCCAAATGTGACCTTACAAACTTTTTACGTAAATTCATCATTATGTATTTTTATCCTGTACCTCACTATATAGCTCACATTCCATTGTATATAAATGTGGAACATGCTTAATGCTTTAGGAATCGGATCTCAAATCGCTCTGTCCTTCCACAGTCCTAGCTGTCCCTACTCCTTACTTGGTGGCAGAGAACTTGAACATTGCTGGGTAAAAGAGGGAATTTTTTCCCTCTTATTCTCATCCAGTTGTGCAATCCAGAGCTTGCTAATCAAGACACGAATAACCAATTTAAGGGAATTGAGCTATCCAATTTAAGAAAATCAGTTGAGCTCATTCATGGTTGCTAGAAGTGAGAGGCATTCACATGCATAGGACTGTTCACATGAAAGAACCCATTCCCAGAAACAAAAGCTACTTGAATTACATGGGAGCACAGGAGCCAACAGGTCCCTCTCATTTTCTCCATGGCAATGCCTTGACCTTCAGCAGCATCTCTGCCTCTATTTTAAGGAATTTCCTCAACTTATTTCATTTTGACTAAAATTACCCTGAGGAAGGGTCACCGGACCCGAAACGTTAACTCTGATTTTCTCTTCACAGATGCTGCCAGACCTGCTGAGCTTTTTCAACAACTTCTGTTTTTGTTCAGGAACTAGGGAATGTAGATTGCAGGTAGCTGTTTGAGGATAAATCCACATGTGGCACATGGGAATATTTTAAAGGCCAGTTAATTAGAGTTCAGGACCAACATGCTCCTGTTAAAATGAAGGATAAGGATGCCAAGATTCAGGAACCTTGGATGACAAGAGAAATTGAGAGCTTAGTCAAAAGAAGAAAGGAAGCATATACAAGGTTTATGAAGACAGACAGAGCCCTTGAAGAATGCAAAGAAAGCAAGAGAGAATTTAAACAAGGAATTAGGCTGGCTAAAAGGGGCCATGAAATGTCTTTGGCAAACAGGATTAAGAAAAATCCCAAAGCATTTTATCCATATAGAAGGAACTAGAGAGTAGCCAGCAGAAAGGTTATGTCCACTTGAGGACAAAGGCGGGAATTTATGCTTGGAGCCAGAGAAAGTGTGTGGGGTCCCTAACAAATACTATGCATCAGTATTCTCAAAGGAGAAAAACACAGTGAATTATAAATCTTTGGAGGGCACTGTTGATATTCTAGGGCATGTCAATATAAAAAAGAGATGTTGAGTGTTTTGAAAAGCATTAAGGTAGACAAATCCCAGGTCAAAGAACAAAGAACAACACAGCACAGGAACAGGCCCTTCGGCCCTCCAAGCCTGCGCTGACACATTTTGCCCTTCCATACCAAAACTGTCTTCACTTACAGGGGTCACATCCCTCTATTCCCTTCCTAGTCATAAGTTCAGCCAGGTGTCCCTTCAATGCTGCTATTGTGTTTGCTTCCGTCACTTCTTCTAGCAATGTGAACTAGGCACTCACCACCCTTTGTTTGAAAAACCTGCCTTGCACATCTCTTTTAAACTTCTCCCCTCACTCTCCTTTGTTCCAGTGAAAACAAACCCAGTCTATCCAACCTTTCTTCATAGGTAAAATTCCTTATACCTGGCAACATCCTGGTAAACCTTTTCTGGAGCCTCTCCAAAGCATTCACATCCTTCTGGTAGTGTGGTGACCAGAACTGTACGCAGTATTCCAAGTGTGGCCAAACTAAAGTTCTATAAAGCTGCAGCAAAACTTGTCCATCCTTATACTCAATGCCCTTTCCAATGAAGACAAGCATGCCATAAGCCTTTATTACTACCTTACCTATATGCACTGCCACCTTCAGTGATCTGTGGACCTGCACACTCAAATCCCTCTGTATATCAATACTCCTAAGGTTTCTGCCATTCACTGTATAATTTCCACCTGCCCTTGACCTTCCAAAATATATCACCTCACATTAAACTCCATCTGCCATTTTTCTGCACATATCTCCAACTGATCTATGTCCTTCTGTATTCTCTGACAATCCTCGTCACTATCCACAACTTCACCAATCTTTGCATCATTCACAAACTTACTAATTAGACTACCTACATTTTCCTCCAAATCATTTATGTACATTACGAACAGCAGAGGCCCCAGCACTGATCCCTGTGGAACGCCACTACTCACAACCTTCCATTCCGAAAAGCATCCTTCCATCTCTACCCTCTGTCTCCTATGACCAAGCCAGTTCTGTATCCATCTTGCCAGCTCACACCCAAAACCATGTGACTTCACCTTGTGTACCCAGCCTGCCATGAGGGACCTGGTCAAAGGTTTTACTGAAGTCCATGAGGATGACATCAGCCACTTTTCCCCTCATCAATCATTTTCATCACCTCCTCAAAAAACTCGATCAAGTTAGTGAGGCATGACCTCCCCCACACAAAACCATGCTGTCTATTGCTAATAAGTCCATTCGCTTCTAAATGCATAGGACCTGATTGGATTTATCCTAGAATGCAGAGAGAGGCAGATGAAGAAATTGCTGGGGGCCTTGGACAAAATCTTTGTATCCTCTTTAGTCACAGGAGAGGTGCCAGAAGCCCGGAGAATAGCCAACGTTATTTTTTTGTTTAAGAAAGGCAACAGGGATAATCTGGGAATTTACAGACCGATGAGCCTCAGGTCAGTGGTAGGGAAATTATTGGAGATAGTTTTTAGGGATTTGGAAAATATATTTGGAAAGATATGGACTTATCAGTGAAAGGCAGCATAGCTTTGTATAGGGAATGTCGTGTCTCACAAACTTGATTGAGTTTTTTGAGGAAGTGACAAAGATAATTATGGGGCCATGGTGGTAGATGTTGACTACATGGACTTTAGCAAGGCCTTTGAAAAGGTCCCTCATGACATCATAGGAGCAGGATGCTGCTTGGCCTGCTGTGTTCATCCAGCTCTGCACCTTGTTGTCTCAGATTCTCCAGCATCTGCAGTTCCTACTATCTCTGAAGTAACGTTTAAGATGCATCTTGACAGATACAGGAATAGGCAGGGAATAGAGTGATACCGAGTGCATAGAAACAAAAAGTTTTTAGTTCAGAATGGGTCATGTGTCGGTGCAGCCTTGGTGGGCTGAAAGGCCTGATCTTGTGATTGATGTTCTTTGGTCTTTGTTCTAAGCTGGGGAACACCATCCGCTAGCCTGGTATCACAAAAAATAGAAGGGATCACAAAACAGTGCATGTGGAAGGCCCAGCTCTGTGTTTCATCTTTTGTAATTTATTATTAATCTAGTATTAATTGTTCTTCTTCCCTTGCAATTCCATATCAGCCAATCTTTTCTAATGGTTTCTGCATGATATCACACCATAAACTTCTACAAGTCAATATACACTGCACCCTTTCTTCATTGTCTCCTAAAATAATTTTATCAGGTTTGTCAAAAATAATCTTTCTTTCTGATACAACATACTTTTATCACAATTTAGCTTTTTAAAAAAAATTGATTTAATTTGTTTCCAGACCAAGGGCATGAACGATAGAGTTCAGGAAATCTTCATTTGCACTTCTATTTCTTTGATATGTTAATTCTTCATTGATTGACTTTTCATTCAATTACATATGTTTGTTTTCTTGCAGTGATGTGTGGCCTGCACTCCAACTGCAGACACCACATGCGTAAATTTGTAGCTTTCCTGAGTTCACAATCACTTCATCAGCTCCATAAATTAACCAAAGAAAATTCGAACTGAGGATGTGCTGGGGTTGGACTGTGTCAAAGTCAGCGATTGGATCGAGCACATGATTTATCAGTCACAGGGAGCTGGCTCATGTCTTCAATGCTGCTGAAACTTGTGGTCAGTCACTCTATCGATTCTCTCGAGTTAATAGAAGTGGAGATGTCAAAACTTATCAGAATACTCACTTCATTCAATTATGTTCACGTTCACAAAATTACCAGGGAATCAATCGAATGCCATAGCCAGGGGTCAGACTGAGGGCCTATCAGCGAATATCACAGCGGGATCAGACCCTAAGCAGCAGACCCTGGTCTGACACTGTTTCAAACGGTTTTGGGGAGTGGTGTCGAAATGGGAATGTTCACCTTCCTTCACAAAGAAACTCGGGAATTCAGCTCTAACAGAAAGTGATGAGCACCGCGTATAGATGCATGGAGTTTGGTGAAAATATAAACTGGTCATCGATGAGATTTGGAGAAAGTGTGTATTTTTTAAAACTTCAATTCTATGAGCTCGAGCTCGTGCTCTCAGGTCGAATCTTAGAAAATGTTTCTGAAAATCCATGTAAATTACTTCTACGTGACGTTTCCCTGTCCCCTACTTTAGTAATTTCCTCATCAAAGTAACGTTCACGGCCTGAAATCCGCAGTGTGTGGCTGTGAGCCTCAGGAGACAGCTCACTGTTCACCATGCAGCTCACAGGGGACAACGTGCAGCTTCCTGCATCCGCTCTCTGAACCCCCACACCCCCCACCCCCACCCCCCACACACACTCCACCCCCACCTCCCACATTCCCCCCAACTCCCAACACTCCCCCCACCCCCACACTC